GGACGTATAAATTTACTAATACTTTCCTTCTCCTCTCTCTCTCTCTCTCTGTCCCTTTCCCTCTCTCTTTATTATTTATACATACATATTTATTTAAATTTAACTATTTCAATATCATTTGCGCAAATTTAAATTATCTAAATAATAAAAATTATATATTGTCATTTGCAAAATGATGAAGAGATATTTTAATGAAAAATGGAATTCATTCAATAGTATCGGTTTGAATGATGACAATAAAACTCAATTAAAATGCATATAATTATTTACAAACAAGAATAATAATCTCCTCTCATTTCAACTATTTTCCATCTATTCCCCATCTTTTTCAGCATCCTATTTTCGACAAAATTATGCAAATAATCAACCATTAAATCTCAATTTTTCTTTCCGAAAAGATTAAAACTTCAAACTTCACATTGCTAACAAACTACCCACCAATTAATCCACATCTGATAATTCCGATATGTAATCAACAAATACGCCAAAAAGTCATGAATTTAAGCCTTTTTTTTTCCCGAGAAGAATCGAACTTCAAATTTCATATTACTACTAATCCACTGATCGATGAATGAAATTGCTTTAATAGACAAATAAGTGGTCCGTATTTTTGTTTAATATTTCGGACTTTCTTGATAGTTCGAATCTACAGTTTATTTCCTTCCAAATACATTGCCAGATCACCTTACTAGAAGTCATATGTTCTTAGTCTCAACAGATGCATTCATAATTTCAAAGATTATCCTTAAAAAGTCAACCACTTAATCAGCCAATCAATCTCTTCCGATGAGCATTTCAAGGTCTGAAACAAAAAATTTTATTATGCTTGAAAAATTTAATTCAATTTTGCACTTGTCAAAATAATTCCATTGCATGAGAAATCTCTGTTCGCAGATAAAATCAATATGATATACATTGCATAGTTTAACATTTGGCGGTGAATTATTACTCTCTTTTTTTCAATATAAACAATCAACGACTAAAAGAGAGAAAAGAAAATAAAAATAGAAATTACTTAAAGGAAAAGAGACTGAGATTTGTTATCAACGAATATCATTTCACCTAATAAAGCAACGGTTAAAAATTGAAGATTTTATTATTATATTAAAAATGAAAAATTAATACAGCAATGGACGAATACTATCGAAAGATGAGGAAGCACCCTTACTGTCTGATTCCAATTATCAGATTTTAAAGAGTAGATGAGTTAAGAAGTCCATTTAAACTGGAAATGAATGAAGCTCTTAGGGAAAGATTTTCAATTTACAAAAACATTCTGAAGTCTTACAATCGGAACATTTCTTTACCTCTCTGTTATTGCATATTTAACTCTCCCAAAAATTTCAATCATTCAGCGTCCACTATAAGTTCGATAACTAGAAGTACTATATTGTTAAAAGGTTAATAATAACTATTTCATTATAACATATTAAAAATGATATCATACACTTTTCTTCACTCTATTTTGGACGAGTATGCTATCACATATCTTTTATCATCCTATCATAGATGAGTGCTATCACATAACTTCTGTCACCCTATCATGGATAGCTGATATAAAAGATCAAATTTCAAGCATCGAAAAACAGGTAAAACTATCTACAGGTCCCTTACAATAATTTTTAGGACTTTTTGTCAAAATCACATTATACATCAGTCACAATAAATATCAAATTAGACTTGTTAAGAAAACTTCTGGACATCATATACAAAAAAAGAGATTAGATTTAGCAATAAGAGAAAGAGGGAATGAGGAAGGTCACTGATAAGGTAACAGAAAATTCTCATATAAACATAAAAATCGAGCATTTTTGAAAACTATTTTGAACATAAGACATGTAACAGAACACTAAAAAATAATCAAAACACGAGATATGTATACTTCAGAAACACTTTTAATCAAAAAGGATGCAAAAGAGAGGTAGCAGCAGTGGCAGTATTTATGTACAAAATAAAACTATAATTTATGCAAAAAAAAGAAAAAAAATTGATGAAAGGCATCGGTAATCATACAATCGTTTCAGTCAACAAACTACAGCAGACCTGTTTTGCTGAAATTAAAAAAAAAATTACGGCAAATTCAAAAATTTTAAACTGGAACATATGAAGTTCTCGAATACATAACTAAAAGTGAAAAAGTGGTTGGCCTCCATCATTCATCTACATGTTTCGGATGAGTACCAATAGGGCTAATGATATACAAAGACCAAGAAATTAAAACATGCAATGTACTCACTATTAACTATCAACCATCGCAACTTACCTAGTAGCACAATTAAGTTGTTACTAATTTACCAATCAATCCCTTAAAGATTAATTTCATCAGAATAAAAAAATTCAATTTACCGGGTAAAGACGAAATTGATCAAAAACGCTAGAAAGATCATCGAATGTGTACTGTTGAAGGACAGTGAAATTTGAGAGATCTGCTTTTCGAGCACACTGAACGCAGTAGACGGGGAATTTGCCATTTACTTCGCGAACAAACAAAATGTTCCAAACTTCAATCTGGAGACAAAAAAGGCATTAGATAACCTCAAAATTCACTTATCAAGATAAAATTGCTTCTTCATATCATAAAGTCAGCACCGAATAATCAAAACGATCGAAAGCAGTATAAAGGTACGGAAGCGAAAAAACAGTGGGCCGTGAAACGAGGCAGAAAACTCTAAAATGTACTGCATACAAGTTATATTAAAAATTAACAGAATACGCTAATAATGCAAAGTTATGGCAAATCATCACAAGAAACCAAACATTCGAGAAGATGAACAACTCTTCTTTTTTTATGGAAGCGTTTTTTTGAATCATTTCATCCCACTCATAATGCATGAACTCTAAAATAATAATATTCAGAGGAACGAACCTCACAAGTAGAACAGTAATGTGATACTTCTCCTTTTTGCCTTGGATGCATCCGAATTGGCTTATCGTAAATACTCAACATATCAGCGATCATCTTACTGTAAGACAGTGATCGTATAAGCGTTTGTTTGATCAATGTAAACATTTTTTGATTTGAAAAACGTATATTCCGTGCCAATTGCCAAGTTAAATGCTGCATTGGTACTAATGATTTGTAACCCTGAAATGAACTAAATGTTTTACTTACTATTCTTGTAAACTTAAACTCTGAATAAAATTGCTACAGCTCATATCAGTAACGAATCAGATCGACAATCTAGCGGGTTCATAAATAGTACTCCCGATGTAGAAAACGAGTGCTAGAAACACTGTAAACAACATCATGGAGATATCTACTTATCTGAGGGTCTGTACAGAGTACACTTGATACGAGAGCATTGAGGTCACCGCGGAACACCGTTACTTAGCCAAAGAGAAATAAATAAACGGGATAATGCATTTCAAAATAACAGCAAACAATTTCATTTAAAATCAGTTTTCTAAACATCTTTCAGAAGTCAGCTTGATAAGAAATTAAAATTTAGCTAATTTTTTTTTCCTACACCATACATCCATCTCCCTAAAACCCACTATGCAAATACATTATGAATACTTCTAATTTACTAATTTGTACTTTCCTAGTAAATATATTTCTTCCGGAAAAAAAAAGAACTTACATTAAGTTTGTTCCATTCATGGCAATGAACCGCCATTTCATATTGGGTTGGTGTGGGTGGTCCAACATTCCATGCCACATTATTACACCATCCAGTACTGTGTACCCAATGAATGCATCCACTACCTACCCAAACCACATCACCTGCTTTCTGAGTAAACCGATACACAGGGATATTTGCCTCCAATAACTCATCAATATCTGGCCACCATGATCCTTTCAGAAAGTTGATTTTACGCCTGAAAATTGAAAAAGATCTTCATGTTTACTCCCAAACAAGGCAAAAATCGATCAAACGATATGTAAATCTCAAAAACAGAGACAAATTTACAACACCAATATATTAGTTTGTTACCAACCGAATTAGACTATTCATTGGATTACCTTCAGCTATAACCACAAACTCATTTCGGAACCTTCTTCCCTTTTTTAGAAAAATTTATTAATTTTTTAACAGTGAATTACTATTCTGTTGTGGAGATTAATTAAAAGCATACTTTTCAACCATTTCATTGACTACCGCCCAATATTCGTATGGAACGCAAAACCATTCACAATCACCTGGACCAATGTTTACATTCACCGATGCCAAACAATTATTTTCAACATGTCCTGGAGTACGTGCACCTGGTACCTAGAACCATCAGCACTTTAAAAGTGTTCTCTCATTACAAAATCGTTTTTCTAATTAAAAATCTAACTTTTCGAATAGGCAATCATTTGCACTGAAGGAATAATAATAATACGCATTATGGCTTTCAGCATTTACTGCAGTAAACAACATACCTTCATATACAGTTGAACGGTATTCATACCATAAACAGTATGTCCAAGATGTGTTAACATATTACATGCGGCAACTAACCGTGCAAAAGACGGCATCTTATTAAGTTCCGATAACTGCACTCTGAAAGACAAATAATTTCACGTCTTTTAACTTCACTTAACATTTAAAATATGCCAAACATTTTGTCTTTCCTTTAGTTAAAAAATATCTTAAAAAAATGGAAAAAAAAACGGAGTAACAGAAGTAGAAGGTGAAAAAAAACGCTTGAAGCAAAGCAAACGTACAAAAAATTAAAAGTACAACAAGGAAAAAAAACTGATGAAATGATTCGTGCCACAATATAAAAGTAATACAAATTCTTACTTGAACTTCACTTCATCCGAAAGATCAACATTTGTTCCAAATTTGATCAGCTTCATCGGCATTTGAGATTCCTCAGGTACAGTAGCACGCCGGCGTTTCAACGAACCATTACCGGCATCTGCTGAAGCACTACCACCACTACCACCATATTTTGCACTTGCTGCCCGAAGTTTTTCGGCTTCTTCCTAAATTTCAACCTTAAAAGTATGGAATTTTTCAGCTTTTGTCTACGAATTGACTTGAAGTTATCATCAAGATCGAAAATGTCGAATGATTTATTCAAATATGTATGATAGTAATGGTGTGGCCTAAAGAGTGCTTACAAACGGTAGATTTCAAACCATTTTTTTTTGGATAACTAGGTTGTTGTTAGTTGGTTCTTAACAACCAAAACTGCGCGATTTCTTCTACTATTTAATTAAAGGAAAACTCTTGTTTAGCAATACTCAATGCCTGACATCTTTAGAGGCAAGATTCGTAAAAAT